TTTGGAAGTGCGGCATTTGAGCACGCGCATGTTAAAATATTTCTATGCGGGAGCATTCGTGTATTGCGCGCGCACCAGTGTACACACGCGATAGTTTATGGAATCGCTTCGCTCACTCCACCAGCCCATATTGCACCACTGTTGCTGGTGTGCCCATGGTCAAGCAGTGGCGAAGCGTCTTGGCTCGCCTATAGCCCGACCGAAAAATGCTTTAAGAACTTGTTGTGGTTTCACGAAATGTTATTAGAACATGCCTGGTGGTGTCTGTCTTGTTGTATCACATCGGGTTTCTGCTTTAAGAACATCGTGGTTGTTATTAGAACATGTTTAGGTTGTGGGAACATTTCGTGGTAGGACTATAGGAATGCCGGGACGGTCGGTCCCTGCTCAACACGGCGTGCGAGAAGGAGGACAGGAGGGCCCGAAAAGGGGAGGAGTTGGAGGAGGAGGAGGAGGAGGAGGCTTCTCGACGGCTTCTTGGGGCACTGGGGACCAAGCGGGGACGCGGACAAGGCGCCTCTTTGGATTGTTTCCTGGGGTCCCTTGGAAGGCCTCTCGGGGGCCTCTTGGCGGTATTGTTGGGACCTCCGCTGGGTATTCGGCGTCAGCTTCGGACGCAAATGCGGACCGCGTGAAAAGACAGGTGCTGTATGGTAGTGTACTCGCGGGACCATGCTGAACGACAGATGATACATTGCGGGACCATAGAGGCAGGTGCTATATGTCAGTGTGCTTTTGGCGAACGAAACGAGGAGGAGGAGGAGGCCTTCCTGCTCCCCCTACCTCCATCGGCGCACCGACTGGATCGTGGACAAGGGGCTTCTTTAGGACTCGTCACGGTTCTCGTGGGAGGCCTACCATGGGTCTCTGGGAGGCAAATATGCGGCCCCCTTGGGGCCTTTTTGGGAACGCTTCAGGGGCCTCCTGGGCCCTCTGGGGCTGCTCCCTGAACTTTTCGGAGGCCCCTTGGGGCCTCTGGGGCCTCCTGGGGGAGCCTTTTGGGGCCTCTCGGGGCTTCGAGGACACTTCTCGGAGTCTTTGGGGAGCTCTTAGATGCGTCGTGGGGGCCTCTACGAGACATCCTGGGGGCATCATGGAGGGCCTCTATGGGCCTCTTGGGGCTCTTGGGGGCCTCTTGGGCTTTCTGGGAGCCTCTTAAGGGCATTTGGGGCATCTCGGAGCAGTTTCCTGGGTCGTTTTGGGACGATCTTGGGTGCCTCTCGTGCCGTCTTCGACGAAAAGGCAAAGGTGCTAACCATCTATTTGTTCCATCGGAATTTATGCAGTGTTGCTCGTGGAGGCCATGTTGAGGGGCCTCCGAAGGCCCTCTTGGGCTTGTCTGGGACCATCGCAGGGCAATGTTGAGCCATCTTGGGATTATGTTCGGGCCATCGTGAGGCCTGCCGCCTATTGATGCGGACTCATGGGCCCTCTTGGAGTTCCCTTGGGGTCTCTTGGGGCGATCCTAGTGCGATCTTGAGGGAGCCGAGCATCGCCCCCCTGGGAGTTCGGCATCCTTGCGTGGACCTTGCCGGGACTTTGCCGGGAGTCGGCCAGGGTATTTTTCGTCTGGGGACCCCCAGCAACCGCCCCGCGCGCGCAAACTAGAATCGGAGGTGAGGGGGTGAGATCGAAGTGGAACGGAGAGCCCCCATACCGAGAAATCGGTTTCGGTTTCGTGTTCGTGCGTGCCGTGCGTGCGGGCGAGGCGAAGCTGCGTGGGCGGGCGAGAAGAAAGTCTCCTCCGGCTGAGGCGCGGCCGAACCAAATGTTTTCTTTCCGGGGGCCGGTGCCGCGCAGTGTCCCGCCGGTGTCCCGCCTCCAGCTGAGGCGCGGCCGGACCAAATGTTTCTTTTCCGGGGGCCGGAGCCGCGCGGTGTCCCGCCGGAGTCCCGTCGGTGTCCCGTCGGTGTCCCGATGATGATGATGATGATGATGATGATGATGATGATGATGATGATGATGATGATGATGATGATGATGATGATGATCATGATCATGATCATGATCATGATCATGATCATGGTGATTGTGATGGTGATGGTGATGGTGATGGTGATGGTGATGGTGATGGTGATGGTGATGGTGATGGTGATGATGATGATGATGATGATGATGTTGTTGTCGATGATGTTGATGACGATGATGATGATGGTGATGGTGGTGATGACGATGATGTCCCGATGATGATGATGATGATGATGATGATGATGATGATGATGATGATGACGACGATGTTGATGATGATGATGATGATGGAAATGGTGGTGATGATGATGGTGTCCCGATGATGATGTTGATTATGATAAATGATGGTGATGATGCTGATGGTGTCCCGATGATGATGATGCTGATGATGTTGATGATCCTGATGGTGATGAGATGATGATGAGATTATGATGATGAAGATGATGATGATGATGATGGTGCCCCGATGATGATGAGGTTGATGATCATGATGTTGGTGATGATGCTGATGATGATCGTGTTCCGATGATGATGTTGATGACGATGATGACGATGATGGTGTCCCGATGATGATGTTGATGATGAGGATGATGATGAGGTGATGGTGATGATTTTGATGATGGTGACCCGATGATGGTGATGATGATGTTGATGATGATGATGGTGTCCCGATGATGATGATGGTGATGATGATGATGGTGACGATGATGATGGTGTCCCGATGATGGTGATGATGTTAATGATGATGATATTGCTGGTGATGATGATGGTGTCCCGATAGTGATGATGTTGATGATGTTGTTCATGATGGTGATGTGGTGATGATGGTGGTGCCCCGATGATGATGATGCTGTTGATGATGATGATGATGATGGTGACGATGAGGGTGTCCCGATGATGATGATGATGATGATGATGATGATGATGATGATGATGGTGATGATGATGCTGATGCTGATGCTGATTGTGATGAGGTGATGATGGTGATGGTGTCCCGATTATGATGGTGTTGATGATGTTGATGACGTTGATGACGATGATGTTGATGATGATGATGATGACGTTGATTGTGATATCGATTGTGATATCGATAGAGGGATCGATAGTGGGACCGTAAGAGATCGATTGTGAGATCGGTAGTGATATAGATCGATTGTGAGATCGATAGTCAGATCGATTGGGAGATCGATCGAATGAAATAGATCGAGCGAGATCGATTGTTAGATCCATCGGGTGAGATCGATCGAGCGAGACCGATAGTGAGATCGATCGTGCGATCAATAGTGAGACCGATCGAGTGAGACGTTGGTTCCTCCCCCCTCCCGAACCTCCTTATCACCCGAAGGGTGGTCGTATAGGTGTACATATACTCTGTGAACCATTTACCAGAGATCTTAGCACGCTCCTGGCCCGTCGGGCCAGCGAATTTCATGGGCATCCTAGGATTTGCTTGACATGCGAGATCACCTCACATGTGCAGGACACGCGAGATCATATTGCATGGGCGCGGGCGCACATATTCACAACAGGGAACCTCGGGGACTTGGGTGGGTGGAGGAAGGGCGAAAGGATGGGGCACGGAAGGCGGGGTGCGTGAGGAACGGGGGCGGGAGCGGAAGGAGGAGGAGGAGTAGGAGGAGGAAGGGGAACTGAGGAGGAGGAAGATGAACACGAGAAGAAGGAGGTGGAGGAGGTGAGGGGTAGGAGGAGAAGGAGGAGGAGGGAGCCTGTGTAAGCCCAAGAGTCATCAACGATGTTGGAACAAACCTTCCCTCCAAGCTCCCTCTTCGTAGACCCCTACAACGGTTCATTTCCATTTAGGAAACTGCATCGTTGGAAGGCAGCCGTGTGAAGATCTTGAAGTCGGCCAAAACATTGTTCTCGGGATTCCAACGCCACGGATCGACCTGACTGTTGCGTCTCGACGAGCCTGAATCGTGACAGAACGCCATTCTTGGGACTTTAACGCCGCGAATGATCGTAACTGTTGCACCCTCAGAATCCTGAATCCATCCAATTCACCATTCCTGGTACTATGATCTTGGGAACCCGTGAAACTCTTGCAATTGTTATCAACGAGTGCGCGCGGCGCTAAGGCGGGAGCCACATGATGAAAGGGAACCACCCTCAATCTGTGACATTCTCGCGAATGTTTTAAACAAATGTGCGCAGCGCTAGGGCGAGAGCCACATTTTGAAAGGGTTCCCCTCAATCCGTGAATCGCTTGCAAACTTCAAAAGAATGTGCGCGGCGCTAAAGAGAGAGCCACATTTTGAAAACGTGTCGCCCTCAATCCGTGAAACTCTGGCAAGTATTGAAAACGAATGTGCGCGGCGCTAAGGCGAGAGCCACATTTTGAAGAGGACCCACCCTCCATCTGTGAAGCTGTTGCCAATGGTGAAGCTTCAGGGTCAGAAATGATGAGAAAATCCCAGACGAAACGCATGGCCCGCCCTAAAAAACTGGCCCCGGGGTGCGACAGGGAGACGTTATTTAATCGCTTCGCTCATGCTGCCGGCCCTGGAGCCCTCTTTAGGGCCTCTTGGGGGCCTCTTGGGGACCTCTTGGGAGTCTCTTGGGGCTCCTTGGCGGCGTTTAGGAGGCCCCCAGGGCCTCTTGGGGGGCTCTTGGGGGTAGTCGATTGCGGCTCCCCCCTCGGAGGCCACGATCCTCGTGAGGGGTGTCGAAAAATACCCTCCCCTGGAGTGGTCTGGTGGCTTCTCCCGGGCTTCTCTCGGGACCTTGCCGGGGTACTTTTCGTCCGGGGGCCCCCAGGGGCCGCTCCGCGCGCGCGAACTAGAAATATTGTTAACAAGTTACCGGAGATCTTAGCACGCCTCTGGCCTGTTGGGCCGGCGAATTTGTAAGAAACGGGAAAGGAGGAGGAGGAGGAGAGGAGGAGGAGGAGGAGGAGGAGGAGGAGGAGGAGGAGGAGGAGGAGGGGGAGGAGGAGGAGGAGGAGGAGGAGGAGGAGGAGGAGGAGGAGGAGGAGGAGGAGGAGGATCGGGAGCAGCAACGCACAGCGCCCGAAGGCTGCTCGGGCCGTGGAGGTGCGGCCGCGGACCGCGCCAGGGGGTGCCGCCACCATTCGGCTGGGAGGCGCCTGGGCCTGGCAAGCGCAGGAGGAGCAATCGGATGTTGGACTAAGTTGAGCCTGTCCCTCTACAGGGGGAAATTCAACCATAGTTAGAAAAGAGTCGGGGGACAATTTTTCTCATACTTTTGGACTATTTGGTGGCATTTCTGGAGTATTTAAACTTTTATTGTTTTGCCCAAAATCCGCCTGTAAGGGGATATGCCCGACCTAAATGTTGGACGAGGGGGGGGGGAGGAGGACCCTGCGCCACTTCTGGCGCACCCCTCACACGCTGCGTGGTCCCATCGCGGGAGGTCCACCGGGGCGGAGATAATGAAAACATGAGGGGGGGCAGGCAGGAGGGGGCGGAGGAGGAGCAGGCTTGGAGGAGAAGAATTGGGGGGGGGGGTGGCAGGAAAAGGATGGGGGAGGTGGAGGAGAATGCGGACAAGGACCGACATCAACCAGAAACGGCGGAGGAAGGCAGGAGAAGACGGATGAGCGAGTTGGGAGGAGGGATGAGTGCTGAGGCGGGCGGGATTTGTGGGGAGGAGGACGAGGAGGAGGGGGCGGAGGATGAAAAAGGACGAGGATCAAAGGAGGAGGATGAGGGTAAGTAGAATGGACAAAATGTTGAAGCAGGAGGATGAGCTGGAAAGGGCAGGAATTGCGAGAGGCGAGGAGGGCCAATCTCACAGGGGGCCTAGATGCTTCCTCCGTCCTCCTCCCTTAATTCTCCTTCCCCCTTATCACCCACGAGACTGGGAGGGAACGAGCGGGTGAGCCAGCGAGGGTAAAGGCGGACTATCGAGCGATCTTGGAAAGAAAGGGTACCGAGCGGGAGTTTTTGTCGTCGTAGCTGGGCCTTTGAAAGCTTGAATGATTTGGGCGAGTTTGGGGGCCTCTTTGGCCAAGGCTTGTCGTCGCAGGTGGGCCCTCCAGGGACGGGATTGTCACCCAAGCCCGCGCTCGAGCGGGAGCGTCGCTGTCAAAGAACATGTGTAGCTGACGTCCGTAGCTGACGTTGAGGCGAGAGCGCCCAGAACCACTTCCAGAGTACTCAACGAGAGATGCCGACGCCGCCGCCGACGACGCCGCCGCCGACGACGCCGCCGACGACCATGACGGCGGCGGCCGCGCAAGTTTTGCTGCCGCCCCGGATCCTGACGCTCGGAGGTCCCCGCGGTGGCCGGGTGGCCCCTGGAGGCCCCCAGAGGCCCGACAGGGGGCCAAAAACGTTCGAGAACCTCTCCCGGCCGACCCTCGGAGGCCGAGGGCAAAATTTGGCACCCCCGCCGAGGCGCGGCCGAGGAGTCCGCCCCGACCCCCGCCGCGTCGCCCCGCGCGCCGCCCGGCGGGGCCGTCACCCTCTCGCTGGGCAGCGCGGGCGCTGGCTGGGCCACGAGCAGCGGCGCCGTGGGCGCCAGCGGCTGGGAGGCGGCCTCCCCCGGGAGCCTCCCTCGTCGTCTTCGCTGTCCTTCCCTCCTCCCGCCCTGCCTGCCTCCTCCTTGCCACCTTGCTTCCTCCTTGCTTCCTCCTTGCCTCCTCCTCCTCCTCCTCCTCCTCCTCCTCCTCCTCCTCCTCCTCTGGTTTCGGGGGCCCGAGCCGAGTCTCCCTCTGGGTGAGGCCCAGGCCGGCCCCTCGGGGGCGGCTGCGGTGCGCACAGGACCACCGCTCTCGGGGTGGAGCTTGTCGGGTGACGGCCGGCGCGCCGCGCCGCCCAGGGGGCTCTGTTGTGGAGGTGGTCACTCGCTCCGCGCGCCTCCTCCCCGGACTTCTCCTCCCACCCCAGCTCTTTCGGCTGTCGGGCAGCTCCTCCCGACCGCACCCCCAGGCGTATCGGTGTGGCGGGCTGGGTGTTTTCGCATGAGAGGTGTCCCAACGTAATTGGCACCAGTTGCAAGGATGGAGCACGGGTCGTTTTCAAAATGGCGCCCTCGTCTTAGCGCCGCGAACACTCGTCTCAAGCACTCGCATAAGGACGGAGGGAGGCGTTTTCAAAATGGAGCTCTCGCCATAGCGCCGCGCACCGTCATGTTTACAATTCGCAACACTTTCAAGGGTGGAGGGCGGTTCATGTTCGAAATGGGGCTCTCGCTGAAACGCTGCACATCTTCACCTGAGAAGCTTGTAAGAGTTACGGGGATGCAAGACGGTTTCTTTGCCAATCGGGGCCCTCGTTTAAGATTTCATTTAGTTTTGAAAGCAAGGAGCTTCAGCATATGTAGTGCTCGGATGGAGGACGGCTTCTTCTCCAAAGGTGGTTATTGCTTGATGGTTCTATCGGAATTCATGAGCAGGAATCTGATTTTTGCGCAGCAGCTATACGAATGGGGGGGTATGTCTTGCAGGGGTCTCGTCGGACACCTCGCTGAGCTGTATGAGTACACCTTGTCGCATTCCTGTTTACGCGCTGGGAACATGCAAGGCAGTTTCTGTTCAAGACGGGGCTCTCGCCTGAACGGCAGGCCAGCAGGCCCATAGGGTGCGGGTCTGTCCAGGGGGGTGTTCCTTGTAGTGCACAGGAAGTCTTGCTGGGACGTGTGAGGAGGGGGCTTGGGACAGGAGGGTGTCTTCCATCATCGTAGATGCATCTTGGCTTTGCTCTGCTCCTGCGTCGCCGCGGCTCGGGATGAAGGACTGGCCCCTGGGGAAAGGCCGAGCTGGCTCTCGGCAAAGGCCCCCAGGTGATGGGCCCATTTTCCACCACCGCTAGCTAGCATGTGTAGGAGGGAGGAGGAGGAGGAGGAGGAGGAGGAGGAGGAGGAGGACCTCCTCATCCTCCCTTCTCCTCCGTCCTACATGTGCTAGTGGTGGTGGAAAAGTTGCCCATCACCAGGATCCGGAACCAGTCCCCTCAGGCCCCGTTCCCCTCACGCCCCGAGGGAGAGGAGCCGGGAACGCCTGCACCGATCCTGGCCAAACACCAGCCCGTGGCCCGTGGCCAGTGCATGCGCCGTCCCTGGGCCCAGGGTCGGTGCAGCTGGACCTCGGGGGCGGCAAAGAGGGGAGTGATTCGGGGGGGGATCTCATGGCGGGGGCCATGAGATCTCCCCAGATTCATGGCGCCTCTTCTTATTTCATTACGTCCCTGGTACCCCCCTGGGCCGCGCACATGCCGCCGGCCATGATTTGCGCCCCCCCTTTCTTGGACGCCCCCATCTTGGCCGCCCCCGAGGACCTGAGCAGCTTTGTGGGCATCTCTCGATCACTCCCGGGAGCACTCGGAAGTATTCACGTGCCGTGCCATGCCCGCCCGTCTTCTCCGGCGCTCCGCTTCGCATTTCCGGTGGCAGCGCGAGCTTTTTCGATGGGTCTGGTTGTGGGCGAGAAGGCTGTCTGCTGCTTGCGCTGGATGCATCCGGAGGTTCCTGGAGGCCTCTGTCGGGGGCTGCTAAAGGTGTCCATGGCCCAAGGTGCCCCCAACCTTGCGCTTCATGTTGAAGCCTTGGCGGCCATCTGGGCCTCGCGAGTGATGCGTTGGAGGCCGTGGGGCCTCTGGAGCCACACAAGAGATAGCGACACAGAGCCGCGGAAAACATGACATTGCAAGCCAATGCTTTGCCAAATCCAGAGGGAGAAACTATGACTGGAGAGTGCTTCGACCCACGGCTGCACTTTTCCAGGGTGCGCCAGCGTCTTGGTTTTGCAAGGGGTCCCCACTCACGGGTCCCTGAGATGAGAAATCCGAAGAGTTCAGGAGGGGAAATAACGCACAGACACAATGAATCGATGATCCCCAGGAAAATATGGGAAGATATGGGCAGCGGGGGAGGAGACAAAAACCCAGAAAATGAGGAAAGATAGGGGGAATCTTGGGATCTGTGTTTACTCTCTGTGTGTCCCTGGGCCCCTTCAAGAGTCTTCGGTCCCAAGCAGCATCGAAGCGCGGCCCAGGCGGCGGCGCGGGAGGCGCAGCCGCGCCACGCCCCCGGCGGCGAGAGCTCCTTCCGCCTCGCGGGCGAGGCCGACGGCGGCGAGACGGCGCAGCAGCTGCTGGCGCGGGCGGGGGGAGCCGAGGGAGGGCCGAGCGAAAGGGGGGGATATAGGGAAAGGGGGGGGATACGAGGTCTGCTGCTCCATGGAAGTTGCGGGGGGCAGTGTTCTGGGAGGTCCAGCCGCCGAGGAGGGCTACCGACGCCGCCGATGCGGCGAGATCCTTCGACCCCATGCACGTTCGGACCCCATCTAGGAGGCCTCTACAAGTAGGGGGGCCACGGAGGGGGGCCACGGATCGGGCCGAACGAAAGGGGGTGATAGGGAAAGTGGGGGGTACGAAATCTGCTGCATGCAGCTGGTTTCGGCCCCGCCGCCGGGCCCATTCCTCGATACATGGGCGCCTCCCGGCGCCGGGGGGAGCCGAGGGAGGGCGGAGCAGCCAGAGGTCAGTATCGTTTAACCGACCCCCATCCCCATCCTCATCCCCCTCGAGACCCCCACCAAATTACAACTTACCACCCCAGTTGGGGATGCCCTTCGAAACCCGAAGAGAACGGCCTATATCCCCATCTAGGGGGGTAAATCGGCCTGTGGGGCCCAGGCCACGCCGCTGGGGATGGGGATCGGTTAAACGATGCTCAAGAGGGCCCACGGCGCAGTCGAGCTCGATCATGGCGGGTCGGCCCTGCCAGAGCCGGGGTGCCCCTTGCATTCTGCGCGTCTGCTCGTTGCGTCTCGTGTCCTCCAGCCTTCCCGGCATCTTGGCATTCAGGGGCCATGTTGGCTTCGGGAGAGTCTTGTGTCCTCGTCGCGGGTCCCGGGGCTTTGCCGTTGGCCAGTGGGGTCTCTTGCGCTCATAGAGGGAGGGGGGCAGAGCTGGCGCAGCAGATACGGCACAGCAGTTGAAGTTGCCTGCCGTCTCGAGCGGGGGTTCAAAGCTGGGGGAACGCCTCCACGTGGAGGGAGGGCGAGTGGTTGGGGTGGGTAGGTGGGTAGGTGGGTAAGTATGTGTTGAGTCTGGCCGAGGGTCAGAGATCGGCCTCGACTATAGGGGGCCCCAAACAGGTGAAGCAACTTCTGTTTGCACTCCTCGGCTTAACACGTTAAGCGAAGCAACTCGTTTGTTCTCTGGAAGGCCCAACGGAAGTTAGTCAAAACCTTTTCTGGGGCAGGTGCAACTTGGTCGGCCCTTTTTCTGGAGCAGGTGCAACTTGGTCGACCCTTTTTCTGGAGCAGGTGCAACTTGGTCGGCCCTTTTTCTGGAGCAGGTGCAACTTGGTCGGCCCTTTTTCAGAGTCAACTCCATACTTCGCCGATTGTTGCGCTCAACTTCTACAAAATCATTATCCCTCGACTCTTCATTACCCTCTACCCTCACGGCATGACCCCCCCCTTCGGGTTTCCTTGGGGGTGTAGGAAAACGCAGGATTCGCCCTGGTTAGGTTACCCGAAGAAGCCAACCTAGTTCGAACAAATATGAGGATGGAGGAAACAAGGATCGTGGTGATGAGGAGGGCTGGGGTGGAGAGTGGAGAGGAGAGGAGGGGAAGGGGAGAGGGCTGGCGAGGAAACACGGAGGGTTTTTAGAAGGATCCACAGCGCACGTCGCTCGCCTGGTTCTGAAACTGAGACAGAGCAAAGTCCTCGGTGGGGCCCCGAGGGCCCATTGAAATAGTTGTGGTCCAGTCTTGAGCCACGGGGCCCCGATGGGGCCAGTTTATTGGAAACCACTTGGGGTCCGAATGAAATCATTCACGCAACCGTTGTGGCTCAAGCCGTTTTGGCTTGTTCCCAGTCCAGTGCTGCCGATGATCCAGCTCATCTCGCTCATTTGTGTTGTCCATATCATCGCTGGCGGTGCTCTCAGGAAGGAGGCAACTTCGACTGTGCGGCACGCTACGCTTCCATATCTTCTCGGTGCTGCAGGTGATTGCGTGCCATCCATATTCTCGTGTGCTGCAGGCGGTGCACCATCCATATTCTCGTGTGCTGCAGGTGATTGCGCAGCATCCATATTCTCACGTGCTGCAGGTGACTTTCCACATCAGCAGGTGGCCCTCGGTACTACACTCCATACCAACACCAGCACGGACTACGACTACACCTTCGGCAGGGCCGACTGGCATCAGCACCAGCACGGACTACACCATCTGCAGGGCCGACTTGCTGCAGGTGACTTTCCACATCAGCACCAGCACCAGTACGGACTACACCTTCTGCAGGGCCGACTGGCATCAAGCAGCACCTCCGCGATGGCGATGGAGGTGGATTTGGACTCCTTCCCCGAGCAGAACGGCGAGCTGTCGGTGGACGGCGGCGGGCTAGATGCTGAGGACGAGCCAGCTGAGCATTCTGATGACCAGATCGCGGGATTGAGGGACTTCGAGCTTATGCATCTTGAGCTTGCAGTGCCAGAGCCAGCTCCTGAAGTTGAGCCACAGCGTGAGCGGTTCCCACAACGTTCTGGGCGTCTTATGGCTCACGCTCGGGAGATCAGG